ATTTTTTATGTATTTTGGGGAAAATACTGGTAAAGATACTTGCCCTGCGCATTTCATTTCCCAGAGTGCTAAACACTACAGCAGTTTTATTACAGGTAAGTGCATTAGTGGAATACCATTGTTGGTGTCCGACTGTTAGCATAAATGAAGGGGTTGCAATTCCAACATGGGATAGCTGTAAGAATACCAGTTTGATCAAAAGACTATTCTTCCATTATATTATCAAATAAGAAGGCAATTCATAGTTTGAATTGCGCATGCCCGTATCCAAGGTCAATCAATATAAACCTATGTTATGTGACCTTGATATGGGCATGTGCACTTCAAACTGCAAATGGATTTATTAGTATAAGGACTTAAGAAATGATTTTTAAAATTTTGTAATGCATGTGACGATAACAGTTATTGTGATTACATTTTACTGTATTTCTCATAGTTTTTTAGTTAGTACAGTTTGGCCTAATATTCAGTTTATAATGGCATCGAAAGCACGACTCAGAAATACCGGGATGATGTCCATTGGGGGATAGTTTTTACATATTATTAGTAGTTTAAAGTCATTACAATCACAATCTCATTCTCAATTTTCAAGCCGTGAAACCTTGATTCAAATATACCGGGATGGTGTCGTGTTAACATTATTTATGACCAGACCCTGGCAAATATTTCTTTGTATTAAAATGCTTTTTACAAATGACAATAAAATATACTGAATACTGAACTAAATACATTTGCATAAAATTTATGAAAACCAATGAAATATTTGATTAATAAAAGATAATGATTTATATATTTCTGTCATGGTGTGGTTCCTATATGAGTAGATAAGGTAATTAATTCTTTGTTCCCTTCATAAACAGTAATGTACAATGTAACAAATATATGGAGCATTTGTGACAAGTAACAAATTATTACAGTATGGCATTTGTGACAAGTGACAATCTAAAATTACAGTATGGTATTATGGTAGCAGTTGAAATTTTAATATGCTTTGTTACATTTGGTTTGTGGTTGTGATAGTTTGAATATTGTTTAATCTTTCCAGATAAGATCATAAGAATATTTGACTTCTTATCATGCATGTGACCCCAGCTTTTGTCAATAATATGCAGTTTCTGTACACCAGCAATGACCTAAATTCATCGGCCTTAATCATAACATTGACACAATTGACAGGGAGAGTGGTTTTTAATATTTACAATTTTGACACTGATTTCTTTCTGCAAGATCTGTGCACCAAATTTCAACCCAACTTCATCATGATTGGATAATTAGTTGTTGTATTATATTGCATTTAATCAGTGGTGTGATAATTCGTTGAGCTATCAAGGCACAGCCTTTTGTGGGCCGTTCCATTCATTATTTCAGTGAGGTTTGAGGATAATGACGTTTCCGAGTCCTTTGTTTAGACTGCTAAGCCATTGGGCGTGTAGTAAACTTAAAGGATAATAAAAGGCCCAGTGAAGCGTGTCCACTACCAGGCCTACACACAAGTCACTAAGTCATGGTACAACTCATCGTTAGGAAAGAATATGGTAGGATTTATAATTCATTTTATATAAGTAAGTACTGTAATTCATTCTATAATAAACAAAGCACCTTTGTTATATTTTGAAGGAAAGTGTTTGTGTGTTTAATTGGTTGTGATCAATCTCACAGGTTTTATAAGTAGCTAAGTCTGTAACCAAACATTGTAATAAGCCTACTAGATTAATGTTCCAACTACTTATGTTAACATGCAGACTTCAATGCTGTTAGTGTACTACAGTAATAGGCTTATTGTAATCTTATAGTTTTAGTGAAGTACATCCTTTTGGTATGATCCAATTATACAATAGAAAACCCAGTTGCACAACACAACCTTTGCAAGTTCCTATTTATATTGTATTGTACCTCCATTGGTGAGAATGTGCATAAGCCAAATCATTTCTGTAGTTAACTATATTATAAGCAATTTGGTACTCTGCAATGGAAAGTGATGAAAGATAATTGTAGATAATTAGTTATAGATAATTAGTTATATAATATAATAATAATAAAGTGATTGGTAATGATAATATAACACATGTTATTAATGGAATATAGTATAACATTAATACTAATAATGTTATATTGTTAATATTATTATATAATAGTAATAATAATTCTGTAGTTGATAATAATAATAATAATAATATATAAAGAATATTACATCAAAATATTTAGTATAATAATATTATATACTTAGGCCATGTAAAAAGGAAAATGGGTTATCATCGTTTTTTTTTTTTTTTTTAACTTTAATCATATGGGGCATGTCAAGTTGTCGCACAGGCCAGTATTGAATGAGCTATAATAATGAGCTCAAAGAATTACCTAAAATCCCAAAATTGTTTTTTATTATAGCAACAGTTTGGTATCTTATTAATTATGTCCCAAAGTATTATTTCTGGAAGTGGTCAACAAATTGTTTATTTAACGTTATTTTGATAGTCAATTCAATTAAACAATGTACTGTATGCACAAGTAACTTTGGAAGGAATTACTCAAAATCATGTTTATCTCAAGTGACTCTAAGAGTGCTGTATTTTCACTTTCCAACAACTTAGGTTTGAAATGTCCAATTTCAATGAATAACCTTTCATTTTAAAGATTACATACTCAAGTATCTGAAAATACCAATAACTACAACTTAGCCATTTTGCCACAACATGCCTCATATAGGGAGGGATGTTTTTTTTTTTTTTTTCGTCAAACCTGGAAAATGGTGCGGTGCATTACTCGTATGTAGGAAAAAGTAAATGGAATTTACAATGTACCTGAGTGATTATGTATAAAATGAAATTAATATATGTTTCAAATTACTATTCAAGAAATGAATAAACATCATTTCATGTTAAATCTGTTCCCGAGTTCAACACATGTACACAAATACTTTGTCATATTTTTTGATTAAATAAAATAGGTCGGTGAGTTTTTCGATGTTGGGAAGGGAATACTAACCAAATTTTTTTGACATGGCCTAAATAATAATATTGGTGGTACATGTATATCATATAATAATAATATTAATAAAATAATATAAATAATTATAAAAATTGTTGATATTAATATTAGTAATAATCCTGTAACCGTAATAGTTTAATATTATAATATATAGCATTATTATGTTATAATATTACTACTAATAATAATAATTAACCCTACATTTTGTGCTCTATACATCAAAGAAATTTGATTGGCTATTTATTTCTATATAAATTTTCCTCCCTATCAAGTGCTATGTTAAGTCTTGTCAATCCAGCTGTCTATACACAGCCATCTGGTATGTGATAAATTATTAGCTATGTTGGCTCATTGTTACTGCTTGCTTTGTGTAGCGCTCTACCTGATGACATTTAATATGCTATCAAAATTCACATCCATTGTATCGTCAACCACATCGTCAGGGGTTCCAAATCTCCCACGAGTCTGGAGGGTGTCCCTGAAACTGAGATGGCCTCCCGCACCCCTAATAAGAAGGCAAAAAATATTTATTATATAAGTAGTCTCAAAAGTGCTGCCTGTCTTTATGTTTCTTTATATTTTTACTGTTTGTATAGTTCAGAAAAACACGGCTACCCTACTTTTTTAATGACTTCAGGCAACATATAAAAATCCCATAAAATTTTCAATTTAATTAAAGCTTTATTTCCAGTGGTTGCAATATTGAACATGAAGCCAAATACTATGCAGTGCAATACTTTCACTTTCATCATATATATGATGAATGATGAACCTAGCCTCTCCTGCACACTGTAGGACATACAGTAAATGCTAACCTTTATCATAAACGTCATCTCAACATAAATGTTAACCTTTATCATAAACATCTTAACATTAGATAACCTAGTGTATAGTTAATTGATATGTTCACTGCAAATAGATTAAATATACGGTAGATAAATTTCAGCCAATATTTACATTTTTGTGACAGGAATGGTTAAAAAAAGTAAACACGACTGCAGGTTACTGTAGGTGCATATATGCAATTTTTTTTTTCATAGCAAAGATAACACCATGAAATTTGCTACACTTATTGTACTCCCAAGTCGGAATGTTTTCTCATGAAAATTCTATGGTTGGCAATTAAATCGCTTGATCGCTCTATATTCTTGCATTAGAGTGAATGTTCTTGTGGATTATAATGGCTGTTTATGTTACAGCACTCAATGAAAAAAAAAAAGTTAATGAACTTTAATTTAGAAAATAATGTCTGTTGCTGCCAGTCTAAGGCCCGATAAAAAAATTATTAGTTTATCACCCTCTCCCTCATCACTTTTGGAAAAATTCAGATTTTTTATTTATTAATTTTTTTAATCAACATATTTTTTTATTTCAAACAGTAGTTTTTTCCATCTTTTTTCCACTTGAAAGCTCAGGATTTCTTGCAAATATGTTTACTGGTACAACAAAAACATATTTTTTAAATATAAATTTGATTCCATTCTTATGACTTTTTATATATGTGTCTCTAACCATTGATTTACTTGTGAAAATCGGTAAAATGGGGGCGAGGTTAGTAAAAAAAAACAAACAAAAAAAACGCCCTCACTTATCAGTTTTTATTCTTTGATGGAGCCTAAAGTAAAGCTTTATAAAATATATTCTTGAATGTTTTGATGTCAGTAAATTACATTTTTGATAATGGAAATTTACTTTACTTTTTTTTTGTTTGGTTTTTTTAGTAGGTTTTGGATCATTTGTTCAGTGTGTGCTAGGAAAAGATTCCTACAAAACTATAAAACAATATATCAAATAACTAATTTCTTTTGTTCCAGATATTTATATAGTTCTATTTTTATATGTACAGTATTTATGTTGTATTAATAATTTCAACATTATTCATCTATTTTTATATTTAATTTTAATCATCATAATATTTTAATAATATTTTCATTTAGTTATATTATTTTTATTATTAGTTCCTTTGGTAATTTTTTCTTTATTCAGCTTTCATGGTGTTATATTGTGTTTTTCAGATACATATTGGATCTGATAGCCTCATCAAGTTACCAATATGTCGACGACACTGCAACACAAAGTACAATCAGAGCTAGAAATAGTTCTTCAAAAACGACGCAGCCAGGAAAACTTGCGAGAAAGCGGTATGAAAGGGCTTCTTTTAATTAACTCTAGTTATGTTCAGATGACTTTCCGTCTGAAGTAAAGTTATAACAAACATAAAATTTTATGCGCATGTTACTTCCGACAAGTGTCCACATGATGTTTACCCAGGAAAACTAGTTCAAAGCTTAGAAGTAACTATGCAAAATTTCCGAAAGTGAGAGTCACAATTTCACCCTCTCTTAATGGTTATTTTGCGCAAATTTTGTTTTGAAATTGTAAACAATTATTAAAACATCGTGTCTATTAAGGATTATGCACACAAAAAATGTTATTTTGGCACTCATTTGTAGGTATTTATCTTTTGAAAATGATTGAGGTCAAAATAAAGATCGCATTTACTTGGAAGCTCTGAAGTAAGTGCATCTACACAGCGCTACACCAGCACATACTCTTTATCTTCCTTGTGTACGCGGAAAGTAGCACATTTACTCCTGAGCAGTCTCAGGAGTAAATCGTCTGTAGTACCGTTGAAGTAACTTAATAAAAAGAGCATCTTCTACAGGTACTACCCAGGGCTTACAACAAGTAAAATGCTAGTTCAAAGCTTACTTCTGACTCATCTGATCATGCCTATTATAACTTACTGGCTTTTTTTACTCAGTGTTTTCATTAACACATTGCTTAGGCCTAAGCAGCTGCTTGATAATGTGGCTATTCATTCACAAGCCATCTTGAATAGTGTAGACGTAAATTCTTGTCTCTTCTTCAGTCCAAATATGGGCATTAAAAAACTGACAGACCTATAAGATTTGTATTGGGGCTATTTTTAGCATCATTGATACAGTAGTGTGTTCTAGTGAATGATATATTTCTTTAACAATCTTGGGCTCATGAAGAGGCAACTGTATGTAAATGTAGGAAATCAAACGGGTATGACAATTACAAAAATAATATAATTTTATAAACACATTATGCATATGTGTAGAGTTCTCTTATACACATCTTCAATGATTTTTGGCTGCATGGTGGCAATTAAAGAATAAAACACATTAAACAAAAACAAAAAACAAAAATTTTTTTGAGTATCACCCTTCATAAGGTAAATATTTTAAATATATACCGGTATATATCGCGGAGATTGCAGATTTGTATCCTTCAATTAATATATCATTTGAAATTTATCGTTCACGACTGATATTAACGTTTCGTTGATAAGGCTATGCCTGACACGTTCTTAACATATTTGTTTCTCTATGTGATCAGTGTATCTACCATTCACTGTTTTTTTATATTTTAATATATAAATCAGACAATTAAATATTACTGTAGCAAAAGGTACAAATAAATAATGAATAAAAATATAAGAGATTATATTATATAAAAGATATAATTGATAATGGCCAATATAAGAGGGTTGCTATAGCTAATAGATTAGAAAATATGCGACGTACAACTACTGTAACTTGGCAACATGCAAATATATAATTCTGCTATAATTAAGTTATGGGGAAAAGGAAGTTATGTCTATAATGAATAAGTAAAGTATATTGTATCTTTAGAAATACAAATTATGTTTACTGTAGTTGTACAAATAAAATGATGAAAATTTTTAAATTATTGGTATTGAATAATATTATTTAAATAATAAATTTTAGCCTAAAACTTAAAGGTATTTTTATATATAATTATTGTTGCTATAAGTATTATTATTATCATTATGTATAGTGTATAATTGAGGTGGACTTTAATGTGAGCAAAATTCATGATTATAAGTTTTGAGTTTGCCTTGAGAAACTTTACTTTCACATCTTGCATCACATGAAGGAAGACACTCCTTAGTTTGATCAGCTGATTATCGGATAGATCTTACCTCTGGGTTTTCATTACTTATAAGTTTGCCTAGAGTTTTATGAGGTCCTGCCTACCCCTGATTCAAGCACTCCGCCTCACTTCATAATTCCTACGAAGTGAAAGCTATTAGTCCATAGAGGAAGAGCATATTCTCACGTCATTCTTTAATGTAGTTTAATTTAATTAGGCTTTATACAGAAATGTAATTACACGACCTAACTTGCGTGTTTTGTGCTTAATATATTATCTGAAACAGTTTCTGCCCCGAACGTTCTGTTTCCAATTTAGGCCGCGCACATATGGACGTGTGTACAATCACCAGCTGAATTACTGCAAGATATGGTGCTGGGTGGAATGACCTCGTCTGCTTTCTATTCGTAGAATTCATGGAGACGTTTAGAAGAGGATTTGATGGAACATGATGTTTGATACGATTTCATGCTAATTGTGTCTACTTAGGCCAGGGCAGTTAGAGCAATTATAAGATATTTAAGAAGTGGAATTTATGCCATAGGCAGTCAACCATGGGCTGCCCTTCAGTTGAATATTAACCCTTTGTCTTAAAACACTACTTGAAATTTCATCTGAATTTGGCCTAGAGGAAATTGAAATAAATGGGTTAATTGATGTTGTAAGATAATGTAATTGCTCTAAAGAACTAAATCTGAATCCGAAATAATAATTAATCTTTTAATGAAATCTGTATTAGAAATTACATTTTGATATGAATAGTATTTTTAAATGAAGATGATTTTTATTTCCTCAAGATTTCCTTTGATGTCAATTCAAAGTTTTACTTGCATTTTGTCATTATTTTTATTCCTCACGTTTACTAATATTGTTTGACAAGATTTCATGTATTTTCCTTCTAATCTCTTGTATTAGACATGTCCCATTGGTGAGTAAGAAGAGCATGATTTTAATATGCTTTTATGATTATTTTGTTTTATATCCTCAGTCAACTTTCCAAATTTGGTATAAGATTGTTATCACAATATAGTATGATAATTGACAAAGTGAACAAATAATATTCTCTGCGAAGAAGTAACTTCATGGCATCCTCTTACTCACCAATTAAAAATATAATTCTTTGGAATTAAGTGTGGGAATTGTGCTCACAGTTTTCCAAAAGTTCTGCTTCATTAACTGGATCTGCTAATGAATCAATGATTAAGGATAATTGTTTGTCAGAGTTTTTCTAATCGAGTTGATTTGTTACTGAGTCATTTTAAAAATGCTGTTTCATGATGTTGTTCTGGTGTATATATATTTTGAAAACCTTCCTCTGTTTTTCATTAATAGATTTACCAACCAGAAGGTGTCACTTGGAGGTAAACTCAAATAGTAACAACAACATTAACAACAACCTAGAAACAAGCACCACACAACGCTGTAACTGCTGCCCTTATGGTTACCATATTGACTTGGACTTTTTAAGATTCTGTGAAGAAATATCGTCTGGAGCAAATTTAAAGAAACTTAAAAGGAACTCAAGGCCGAGAAAGAAATCGTCTTCTGTAAAACTCTTTAGCAAACCCCCGCCGCCAATTGTTCCACCTAAACCGCCAAAAGATAAACGAAGGAGAGCAAAGTCTGCAGATGATTGCATTGAACCAGATCTGATCTTGAAACGAGAGAACCAGTTATTTTCCGCTGCTTATAGTGACTTTGCTGATTTGATAAACAAGAGATACATACCGTACAAGCACAAAAGAAGCCCAAATCAGTTTGCTAATCAAGATCTATCAGACACTCAATCTCTCCCTGCCCATCTGACGGATATCAGTTTTAGTGATTTTGAGAATGAGAGTAATTGCTCGTTAGATGAGTCTGCTCTAGATTGTACTTACCAGCGGCAGGAAGAGTTGTTCATTGAAGAAGTTGAATCCAAATTGTCGTCGGCTTTTTCTCCAGCAGTTACAAATTATCAGCTTCCACCAGATCTTTCACCTCTTAGTACAAATCTAATCAACGGTAGAAGTGATTCTTTAAGTTCTTTAGACTCGCAGTCAACTACTGCAAGTTCTTTACCTCCAATTCCAAATCATCCATCGGGAAACGATCAGTTAGTATCAAATATGGCGTATTCAATTTCTAGGTTGTCACACGCAAAGCAAGTTGCTGATTCTGCTAGCCATTCTGGACGTTCAACACCTACCTCAACTATCAGTCCAAATTCTTTAGCAGCCATCCGTCAGCAGATGGCAGTAGCTCTTCAGAGATTACGTGAGTTGGAGGAACAAGTAAAATTGATACCAGTATTGACGGTAAAACTGTCTGTCATGAAAGAGGAAAAGCGTTTGATGATGCTGCAGTTGAATGCAAAGAAGACGCAACCTAACACCAAAGATATCGGGGTTGGTGATGATGCAGTCGATCACTTTGAGGATTTAGAAAAAAGATCAAGCAACATAACCACTATTCAAATGTCAAGTAAATTTACAAAGTCTCCTCCACAAGTAACCAGATTACTGGAACCTAAAGTAGAAATGAAGTCTGTTGGAATAATGGCCAAAATGTTGCCAGACCTCTGTAATCATGGAGAGTTGTCACATAGCAGCGAACCAGTCAAGATTGTAGAGACAGTCATTTCAAAAGCTTCAAAGTCAAGTATCCTCCATGCAACTCCAGGGTATGTCCAACCTCAGATGGAAGACTGTGGAGTAAACACAGATAATATTGATAAATGTACTGTGGGAACCAATGTTACTGTGCAAACAACCACATGCTCAACAAATACAAGAATTCTTGAAATGTTAGAAAAGAGTTCTTCCATTGAAATGTCATTTTGTGATCAGCAATGCAACACTGTCAATCCAGTTATGACAATGAACTGCACGAATACAGATCTTCAAGTTGAGGATCAGTCAACTTCTACAGATTATATCCAGCATAATCTGCCCAGTTGTGGAGTTAATACTGACATTTTGGTGACAAGAATAGTTGGCACTAATACTGACTCATTAAATGTTCAAAAGCCAAGGGTTGACTTTACTTGTAATACAGAACCAGTACTTGTCAATGAGTATGTCACAAAGAAAGATTCATTTACAGATATGATGATAACCACAAAAGATTCAGGTATTCTCACCGAACCAGTTCCTGCGCATGATCAGGAAACAGAGATCAGCGTGGTATGTCAGGACGTAGCAACAGAAACTGTAAATGAGTGTAATAGTCAATGTACTAATACAGACTTTCTTCAACAGGATGAAAAATCCATCCAATTTCACACAGAATCATCAGAGAAAGCTGTCAGTGCCAGTGTAGCATTGCAGGATTTTGCAATTGGAACAGATTTAGTACAAGCTGAAAAGGGGACATTGTGTGATATTGTACCAGAAATGAAGAGCACTGGTGTTGGAGATGGCAACATCAAGAACGTCTCCCCTTCTATTAGTGTGTCTGCTGAAATAACAACAGAGAAATCTGTCAGAACAATTACAGTTGGAAGTTGTAGTACTGATGATAGATTTGGCAGTGCTTGTGACAATCTCCTGACAAGCTCTGTTGCTGTTGGCAGTGACAGTGAGACTGCACAAGACCTTTACCAAACTTTAAATTATTCCAGTGGTCTTCAAAGCAATAAAGAGAGATATATTGAGATCAAAGACTTCGAGGAGGAACAACCACCTCTCACTGAGGGTGCAGCTGATGCAGAAACTGAGGTTCTTCAAAAAGTTGATGAAGCAGAACTCCAAGTTAAGTCTGTATCATTTGACAACCAGCTTTCTGCGGATGATTCTGTGGATTATTACAAGCCACTGGAGGAAATTGTCAGTATCCCTCAACTTCCATTATTTGATGATATGTGGAGCAGGGAAAATGAAGGTAAGACAAACAATTACTAAAATATATTTATCGATTGATTTATATTTCTAAATTTAATAACATGGGAAGTAGATTTTTAGTAACAATTGCTTTTGAAACATTGCAATTGGTGTACATCAACACTGACATGACAGGATGTTACTGTAAAATAGTCAGTACACCAAAAGACTATTTCCTACTCGTATTCAAGTTAAGGATTGTAAAGAGTTATTTTTATTGAGAAATATAAGTTGGAATGATAAGATTAGAACTCGGGACCTTGTACAATTGGAAAACAAGATGTTATTAACCACTAAGATACAGCTTAATTTTATTACACTTAAATAATTCGCTTTTTGAATAAACTACACGAATAATTGACATTTTGCCAATTACTCCAGGAAAAAATACATCCATATAAAAGAATGTGTATCATATCCTTTCTTCTGTTTATTTTCATACAGTCTTTGTAGAGCTACTTTACAATAATAATTGGTGTAATTTCCTCTAATTGAAAGTTAGAACAAGAATCCATATTGGGCGTTGATTAGCTGTGGCCACTATTTTTCTCTTCGTCAAGAGTCACTGCGCCTCAGAATAGCACGCTAGAAAGATGCCACATTAAAAGTGCTGTTTTATTAATATTGTATCATTAAGAGAATATTTTCCAAACTAATTATAGATCCATAAATAATACTGTTCCTATACTTTTTGCATTTACCCTTAAATTGGCTTGAAAAAAAAATGTTTTTATAGAATCTAATAATTTGATGTCATCAAACTGTTTAAATGAATAATTGAATGGTTTGATTAAAAACTGAAAATTTTCTCAAAATTCTTACACAATTTAACTATATTGCAAGTACTCTATTCTGAGTACTTGACGGTAATCTGACTTTGTAGGTAGAAAGAAACTAAAAATATGAAAATGAATTTATTTCCGGCGAGCAGTTTGGAGGAGTTCTAGGGTGTATCTGTTAAGTATTTACTTCCATGAACATCAGCTGGAATGTGTATTTTTGACAGCGACTTTCATTTTTTGTCGTTTCCTTATGGATTAAGTTTCCAGTAACCTTGACAACCATCTGCCAAGTCTATTCGGAAATCTTGCTTTTTTGCGCTCATTCAATATAGGCTATTCCTAATAAAAGTCAAAATTTTCACAAAACTTGTTTACTTTGTGTGGAAAACATTTTGGAAAATATCTTTGATAAAAAAAACACTAAATACTGTAAATATTGAAAAATGAATGGTAACCAAGACTTGTGTGAAACATTGTGCATTAGAGATATTTCAATTTTGAATGAGTCCAATTATATACTTCTTTATTGTTTAATTTTCTGTAGATGTGTTAGAGGATCAGCAAGATGTGTCCGCGTCACTGAGTTACTCACCGACTCAGAGTCAGTCATCCATCACAGAAGATCTGCATACAGGTGCGTCTGAGTATACAGAGATTCCCGGTAGTAGCATGGCATACCGGTACCGCCGGGATAATCTGTTTGCTGGCGCTTTCACTAACATGCACGCCATGCTTGAAGGTATGGAGCTAAGCAGTACGAGTATTAACAGTTTTTGATATGCCAATAACATGCATGTGTTTGTGACTGTTTAATGTTTTATGGGTGGTAGTGAGGATGATGTTGATGTTTGGTAATGATGGTAAAGATGATGATAATACTGGTATTAATGATTTTGATGACACAGGCTAGATTATTTGATAATTTTAATGCAGTGAAAGATACTGCAGATTGAGTAAAACGTTTGAGGCTTGACATCCCAAAACCTGCGTACAGTCGCTAAATGGTAAACTGAGTAATTAGCATTAGAATGTGTCAGTATTGTATACCATAGTACAGAGAAGCCGTAATACTTCTACTCATAACTTTACAATAGTAAGACGATTACAGTAAGTGACCCATCATTTTAAAAGCTTATAATGTGAAGATTGTGAAATATGTTGAAAAAGTTAATTTTCGTGTTTTGGTCACTGATGATATTTTTTGCATGCGAAGCCCTATTTGTTTTGCCTGAACACATAATATCCACTCGTGTAGAATCTGTCTAACATGTTTGTATCTAACACACCATAACCAATAGATTATTGCAGTCTTCTTAGAGATTGGTTTCCTACTGTGATTAGCCATATGTTCTACTAATTTAGCAGTCACACTCATGTCACATGACCGGAAGCAACTATTGCAATTTTCTATTAACACAGCAGTCTAAGTTGGTCACATGATATCAAGCAACTCAGTACCTAAGCAAATTACTTGTGCCTCCCCTTCCCCCACCCCTGTTTCCCCCAAAAAATTACCGTCAGGTAGTTAAACATCACCTACAATCACCTTATTTTGCGAATTAGCACCCCTCAACTGATCATCGAGTCCGCCCACTTGACCTTCGAGCCCCCTATCAGCATCCCCATTTCAAGACCTCTAGATACGCCACTGTACCTAAGTATCTAGGGGCGTGTCTATCTCACTGAGTTGCCATGTTTTGTTGCATTTTCATCCTATCGTGTACCCGATTCGCACAACACAAAATGTACTGAATACTAACATTGATATCTGTTCGAAAATTTTTACTTTCACACAGCTAGTGTAAATACAAAGCTTTCTGAGAGTCAATATAAGTCAAATAAATATATAGCCATAATATACATTTATATTGGATCTGCTTGTTAGCAATAAACAAACGAAAAACAAATTGTAGGCCAACATGTAATTATAACTGGTGCATGTTGTATTAACATGACTGTGTATTTACACTGTTTATAAATGATTGAATCTCCCTTGTGCAACTGTCTGTCTGTAACCCTGAATATACAGTATATACTTGTTAACATAAACAAATATATTTACTGTCTAGCCATACATATCTGATTTTCATTAAATTTAATACTCCTGTCTCTTATACACATCTAGATGTGTATAAGAGACAGCCCCTTCTATTAGTGTGTCTGCTGAAATAACAACAGAGAAATCTGTCAGAACAATTACAGTTGGAAGTTGTAGTACTGATGATAGATTTGGCAGTGCTTGTGACAATCTCCTGACAAGCTCTGTTGCTGTTGGCAGTGACAGTGAGACTGCACAAGACCTTTACCAAACTTTAAATTATTCCAGTGGTCTTCAAAGAAATAAAGAGAGATATATTGAGATCAAAGACTTCGAGGAGGAACAACCACCTCTCACTGAGGGTGCAGCTGATGCAGAAACTGAGGTTCTTCAAAAAGTTGATGAAGCAGAACTCCAAGTTAAGTCTGTATCATTTGACAACCAGCTTTCTGCGGATGATTCTGTGGATTATTACAAGCCGTTATGTACAGCATTTCAGCAACCACATAATTTATTATTTTCAGCTATCTATACAAAACATACACCATATATTGCCCTACCATTTATTTCTGCATTTAATTTATATTAACATTTTTGTAACATGACCTTTGATTCAAATTTTATTTTAGGTCATCAGCAAGTTCCAGTTCTAGCGAAGACGAGTCATCAGAGTCTGAGAGTGAAAGTTCTGATGGCAGCTCGACTGCATCAACCTCTCCTGATGAAGGTTGCTACGATAGCGAACTCGGTCAGATAACGTACCACAAGGTCACACGCGGGAAGCTATCAAGTCTGGTCGAGTTGTCTACAGAGGTCAAGGAAGTGCCAAAAGTGCGGAGAGAAATGCCAACATTGAAAGAGGTTGAGGTAGAAGAAGGGTAAGGTTGACTCTTTGGCCTTTGAATTAATTAATTTGTTTTGTTCACACCCAACAACAGAGTTCCGCCGCAAATTACAGGATCATGTAATTATCTGATGCTCCGCCTTAGTGCTGTGATCTCCATCGCATTATATATTAGTTTTATATCCTGTTGATTGTAACTCTTGGATTTTAAGATTAGATTTGAAATACTGATAATGATAACAATATTGACGTTTATAAAGTGCTTCCTTACCTAAGTATTGAAAGTGCAGATGTAATACATCAGCGAATAAAAATGATGAATGGTCCAGGCAAGAAGGGGTTAAGATAGGTCATGACAAGTTTTGACAGGTTCCTTTGCACACATGCAACATAAACATTTCAAATGTTTTAGATTATTACTTTCTTGGTGTGTCTTAGTGGCATTGTCTTTTTACCTACAGTATTGTCAAGCGCAAAGAGACCTTGTTTATTTGCACTATATAAATCCTTCTATTTCTATTAGTATCATTATTGACACCAGCATCTTAATAAACAGTAAAAAAGAATCCATCTGCAAGTATAATGATTCCTAGCAACCTGTAGATGAATATTCTCATCCATAGTATATACAGTAATAAGGAACTTTTGTTTTTTTTAAGTTATATTGTGAAATTTCTTTAAGGGAAAATAGCATTCAAGAGAAACAACAGCAGTTCTTTGTCACTAGGTTGGCAATATGATAATAGTATAAACAGGGGGAAAGCTGTGGAATGAAGTGAATAGGTTTTTGTTTTTTTTTAGGAATAGGATATACACACTTTAAAATGTCTTGGATAGTTTTGCAGAGTAAAGCCATGACAATAGTATTGAGTTGAGTCCTTCCACAGTCCGGAAGCCAGGGAGGACTGTTTAGAAAAGAGGAAGCATGAAAATTTCAGGGACATTTATTTAGCACATTTTGGAGACAGATGAGGTTTTTCTTAATACTGTTTAGGATGAAGTTGCAAAATCCAGCTATTGACAGAAGAAGGGCACATACTGAACCGTAACAAGTGTCACAGAACCTTCCATACAGGGTTCTAATTGGCCAATAAGTGGAACGGGAAAGTTGATTGACATGGTGTGTCATTTATATACTAAATATGTGACTGGCCAATGACTGGATTTAATTTCATGTATGTGTTTAATATGATATAACTCGATGAAGAGATAGTGTGATCTAGATAATTTCTGGCAGTGTGTGTTGTACATTGATAGGAACGAAACGTAGAATCAATTATGGCCTCACGTTTGTCATTCTTCACCTTACCCATATTCTATTTGTGAATAATCAGTGGATCCTTTGGTTTTCTTTATATATATAGAGTATATATAATATATATTTGTGTGTGTATATATACACATACATACATATGTATCTATATAAATTAACAGATACTACAATGCTGTTTATAAACAAATGGCTTGATACAAGTATGAAATTTGTCTGCAAAAACTAATGTATAAAAGCAAGTGAAACATATACATTCATGAATAATTAGCAAATCAATCTACAGCCTAGGGAAATTAAAGTCAGGCTCCGGAGGAAAAAAAATTTTTGATATGTTGTAGAACTGGTTTTTCTAAGACAGAAAAAAGTTGTTTGACGAAAAACTGGGGAACGGTGAATGAGATACAGATTTTTTAATATTTAAAAACTAGGGGAAAAAGGGGCGTAACTGCCCATTTTTACACCTTATTCCCCCAGTTTTTAAATATTAAAAAATCTGTATCTCATTCACCGTTCCCCAGTTTTTCGTCAAACAACTTTTTTCTGTCTTAGAAAAATCAGTTCTACAACATATCAAAACATTTTTTTCCTCCGGAGCCTGACTTTAAAATAATTTAAAAAAACTAGTTTTTTCTGTTTTATCTCCACTAAATTATCGTGATCGTAATGGTGTAAGTAGTTGATGGTAAAACTCTCATTTGATAATGGTATCACTACTGTCAATGATATCTTGATTTGTTGTCACTGTCATTACTCATTATTTCTTATTTGCCATCATATTGAGTGATTGTGTAGAAAAAAAACTTAATAATGTAGATATTTGAATTGTGGTATTCAAAATGAAATCAAGTTGGATTTGTTAAAGCTAACTATACCAAAGTTATAAATGTATGATCAAACATTGTTAAATCTGACAAACATTTGTCAGTATAATGACTTGTCTTGAGTTATGAGAGAGCGAACCACCCACAAGCCCCTGCAAACTCCAGTACCCACTTTTAAAATCCAGTCTCCTAGGTTCAAATCCAAGCAAAATGCCAATAGAGTTCTCATTAACAATAACATAAGTCTTTTTTGTAAGATATCTCGCTATTAGAAAGCATCAGATAATATTTTGTTTAATAGAATACATTTAATAAGACTGTCCTTAAAAGTAAACAGTAAATGCTTGAGATAGCAAGTGTAATAAATATTTAAATTATTAATAAAGTTCTACCATTGTTTTATACATACTTTATCTGACTAATATGACTCTACTACTATTATAAGAGTTTATTTTCACATTTTTTCTGTAGATTCGCTCTGAATCCAGCAATTTATCCTGCATTGGATCAGATGGAAACATTACTGGCCAACGGAATGGAAGAGAGGATCCAAGATTTTGTAAGTCCATCACCATATGATAAACTTTGCATTTTTGTTTTCTTTGTGCTATGCTGTATATATTATTTTATTAAAGTTAGTTCTCGTTTTGGTAAAACTTATCTGTATATATTTATTGTCTCGTAATATGGTACAGC